AGATTTGTGCAGTATACGACTGATTGTTGTCCTATGGACAGAGTCTCCCACCTCAGCTGTAGATCTCTGCAGTTCATCCAGAGTGATCATGGGCCTCTTGGCTGCATCTCTGATCAGTCTTCTCCTTGTATGAGCTGAAAGTTTAGAGGGACGGCCAGGTCTTGGTAGATTTGCAGTGGTCTGATACTCCTTCCATTTCAATATTATCGCTTGCACAGTGCTCCTTGGGATGTTTAAAGCTTGGGAAATCTTTTTGTATCCAAATCCGGCTTTAAACTTCTCCACAACAGTATCTCGGACCTGCCTGGTGTGTTCCTTGTTCTTCATGATGCTCTCTGCGCTTTAAACAGACCTCTGAGACTATCACAGTGCAGGTGCATTTATACGGAGACTTGATTACACACAGGTGGATTCTATTTATCAAAGCAGATAAGGATATACGTTTAGTTTATCACTGTATATGTTGTAAGTAAGCTGTGTCAAGTTGCCAAACAAAGTCCAAGCTGTGTTTTGGCTCTGCTGAATCCACGTTTACATGAAGTTTACATAACAGTGTCTTAATTCAAGTCATCGAATTCATGATCAACGACAAAGCTCACGGCTGAGTCACAGAGGTAACGTGTAGCAGTGGTCCCCAACCTTTTTATCACTGCGGACCGGTCAACGCTTGACAATTTTACCGCGGCCCGGGGGGAATATGTCGCACAAGTAAGCCAGTTTTGGCGCTCAAGTGACCGAGATGTAACCGAGAGAATGCGGTCATTTTTCAAAATAAAAGATCGTTCATACTCAGATAATAAATAAAACGGAAATAATTAATGATTTCTTGTGCGGCCCGGTACCAATTGATCCACGGACCGGTACCGGTCCGCGGCCCGGGGGTTGGGGACCACTGACGTGTAGTGTCTGAGGATGTTACCACATCACTGAGGTAATTTCTGCACTAAAGACAGGGTTTCCAATCTTAGACTTCACGTTTTATAAATAGTAGCCAGGCATTCTGTTTTTAGACAACCGAAATAAAATGTGTTTTGCAGGCTTGTATGCCTATCATTCATACTTGGCCAGAGATAATGTCTCAGAGCTGAACTAGTGTGTCCTTTGTGAAACAAACGTTAGCTCAGGAAGCTAACATAGTGACTGTTTATCATAGAAATAGGGGATGTCAGCCAGTTATTTTTACCTAAATGGTTTAAGATGTGACTTAGCACTAGTCTGTCATTAATACTGTAAAGGGATGTTCACGCTTTTTGAGTCTGCATGTCTGCTATGGTCCAGTGACACAAATTTTATCCTCTTACCAGATCTGCAAGGGTCTGCACAGACTCCATGCAGACGTCCTTGTGCAGACCAAACATTTGTATCCACGTAGGCTGTCTGCACAAAAAAAAAATCCCAGAATGCCTATGTACCATAATACTTGGAAAGTTCAGTGAAGCGGAAACATGGTAGACCCGTGATTTAGAGTATGAATATTAGCACATGCGCCGTGTTTGTATATGCATGAGGGTATGCACACAGCATGAATTGGCCTTAAATGGTCAACTCTGCACCTGCCAGCATTAAATAGGAAACACAGTTATCATATTTAGAATGTGATTTGAGTAATATGCTGATCTTGTCCAAGTTGAATTTGTTTACTTTTTAATTAGAATAAGTTCCTTTTTTTCAGTCCATGAAACGATGTTAGCTCAGTAAGCTAATGTAGAGAGCTTTTAACATAGTTTAGGAGCCAGCTGTACATCGTTAGCTTTAGCAGTTTAACACGACTTTCTTGTAGTATGTCATCAATATGGTAAGTGGTCAACTCTATACCTAACATCAAGGAATGTAATGCCAGTTTTGAATGTCATGGTGAATAATAACGAATGCATAGCAGCTTGCATTGTCTAATTTTGTCCACATTTTAATCAGTTAAGCCCACTAAGTGCGGTATAGAATGGGACTCGATTCCCACTACTGGGCTGTGAACTAGCTTAGCCATGTGGTCTTATAAACCAGTGTTAGCTCAGGGAGCTAACAGCTTTTAGCATCATTTAGAGATAGCCAATCAGATATTGTTACCTTTAACAGATAGTTAAATTGGGAAAATAATTATATTGGGACTGAGATTAGATATTAATGAGTCAAGTATTCAGGCACTACAACACTGTCGGTAGATAGCTGACATTCTTAGCAAGGTGGTGTTTCTGTTATAGTTAGTTTTGCTATGTATAAATCCAAAGAAACTGATTTGGGTAAACAACCTATCCAGACAGTTTTAAATCTGTTTTTGCAGCTGTTAAGTCTTTGAGTCAGCTCAGACACTGACTGTCTTGATGCAGTCGGTGTTTGAACACTTGACTTTTGCAGCTCCATCAAACAAGCGACAGTAGGTCATCTGTCACTCCTCTCATTTTGTGCATTTAAATCAGCAACAAGTCTCATCTGTGCCTTTAAGTTTCCTGCTCAGGTAATTTCCAGTTCACATGCCGCAGTCCCACGACTGCTCACAGGTTGGACAACCAGCCTACCAGTCTAGATCAGTAGGGTTTAGAATACAACGGAGATGATTGGGTCCAGTATGGAGTCAGGGAACGGAAATGGAAATCAGTGAATGTCCCAAATGACCTAAGAAACATAAGATTTAAAAATATTAACAGATAAATTGGCCATGATTAACTTTTAAAATGCCCATCAACCCACCCACCCGCAACTCCAGCTACTGGTTCTTTAATTTTTATCAATTTGTACTGTACCTGCATTATCACTTCAAAGTCAGTGACCTACAGGACATTAATTTCAGTACGGAATGAACAGGTTACTTCCAACCCGCTATGCAGTGTTTTCACTTGAAATGTGCAGCAATTTATTTTTACAAAACAGAGTATCTTGGCAATCAGTTAACCTTTTGAGATTCAAGTCCATTTCCTTTCTCTATACAAAATACTGGACTCTGAATGAACTTTAGACCCTATGAAGTTTGTTAGAACGGGCAGCGAGAAGAAATGCTTTGAAAGTCGTGGATTTATTGTCAAAAATTTTGAAGTATGTTTAAAAACTTAATACAGTGACATTTCAGTGGAATTTTAAAGAAATTGCATATCAGGATTAAAAGCCTCTAATGATTTTAATTTTGCATGCGATGTTTCGATATAGAGTCAGCAGTGATATGTGGTATGCATATAAACTCAACTGTTAGCTAGGGACACATCAATATGTAGCTAAAATACACGTGATGCTGTTGAAATCTACCGCGATGTTAAGTATTTTATCACAATGCAGTTAGATATTAAATTGACTGAAAAGGGTTTAAAATGGGGAGAAAGTTGTGCATTGTAGAACGGCAGTATTTGTGTCGACAGGGAAGGTAGGTGATCATTTTGATCTCTTACGGAGTCCACGATGACTGACGATGACCAGTAACAACGCAAACCCAGCATAAAGGGGGCAAAAGGTATATGAGAGAAAAGGCCACAAACGGATTGAGAGTTCAGATTTACACAGATGATGGTAAATGTTTTGCACAGAAGTAGTGGAAAATGTTGGTGGATTTATTCTGTAAAACTCTGACAGGTTTCATAAAGATTAACTGGCTTTAGTCCAGCCGTCAAATTTTATATGCTGTAGGTGTCCAGGCTGAGTGGACACCTGTCCATCTTCAGTGTTGTGCATGAACACACTCATAGAGCACAGTTTATTTGCAGGCGGACTGAATGGACCAATTTGCAACTAGAGAGCGTGACATGGCGAGTGGTGAACTGAGTGGCAGTGGCTTCACTCACTTGATTTGCTAATTTTCTCTGAGCCATGAAGCAAGCAGCCCATCTCCTAGTGAACTCCTAAAACAGCTGGACAAGAGGGTGAACCATCTGCCCGGTCAGCTAATTTTAGGTCAGGGCATGCCGACTTATTTTTGTGACCATGAGTCTTAATGTTATTGGACACTCCTTTTAAAGTTGGCATACATGAGGGATGAACTGAGTCCAAGGACCAGGACAACAAGGAAACCACAGGTCTGTCATATGGAAAATGAACCACCTTGGATTTAAAATCGTGGATGTTTTTGCACAGAGGGAGAGGAGTAAAACTCATCAGGTTTAAGGTAAGATGGGCCTGACTGTGTTCATGTTTATGGCTGGTTTGCTGCTGTTAACACGGGCGGGCTGCATGTTTTAGTTTGTATGTGTCAGGCATAATAATACATTTAGTGGGTGCCTTTCAAAAACACAAAGTCACCTTACAAAACGGTAAATCATATCGATAGACTTAACTTGAGACAAAATACTGGTTTGTTGTCTCGTGTGTTTGTATCGCTGAAACGAGTCATTTCTCCACGAGCAAATTGACTAATTTATCTTCAGCCCTGACCAATGCAGTGTTAGACACTAGTCATATACACGCAAGTGATTTGTAGTGCAAAGTGGCAGGAATGGCTTGTTTTGTGTTTTAAACTGCAGTGTGCTGCTTTTATTTGGTATGAACTTTTGAACTGTTTACTCACCAGCAACAGTTGACAACCGTCTGGCTCCACCACAGTCTAGTCAGACTGGAGAAAATCACCAGAATCAATACATCATGATCAGAATCCCCTGGTGCTGTAAAACAGTGCATGTGCTGTTTGCACTTGAGTTCTTCAGTAAATGTACATGGAACTTTAGAATGTAAAGGTATACTAGTGGCGATGACTGGGGGCCAGGGATGGTTGGGTAGAGTCTACTGAAAATTAAATACAAAATAAGAAATTAGTTGATTTTCACGTGTGTGAACTGAGCTTTGAACCAGCTCTAGTGAAGTGTGAACTTGCACAACACTGTCCATGCTCTTCTAAGACTTATAGGTATTCTCTGCAGTGGCCCTGCTCCAAGTCTTCTGCTCTGTGCAGCTGTGTAGTTCCCACCAATATCAGCTGGAGAGCCAGTCTCTGTGAAACCTGCCCATGGAATAAAGTTGAGCTCTGGCTTTAGAGTTCCAGTGTGAGAGGTCCTGTGTCTTAAAATTCATTCTGTTAACATTTTTAGGAAAGCCAATCAGCACCAAGCCCAAGAATGTTTGGATTTGTGGACATTCGCTGGTGTATTGGGCTGAGTCGCGGGCCAAGTCTCCAGAGGTAGGTATGCAGTTGGGCATGGACCCCAGCAAGGTCACTGTCTGGTGGAACAGCACTCAGGGTATGATGTGGTCTCAGCTGCTGCCCCAGCTTCGCCAGCTGAGGGTCACCTGGCCCGACCCGGACGTCCTCATCATGCACCTGGGTGGCAACGACCTGAGCACTAATAGCCCCACTGACCTGCTGGCCTCTGTCAAGAAGGACCTGACCTCTATGAGGAGCATCTTCCCACAGTGCGTCCTTGTGTGGTCCAACATCCTCCCACGGAGGGTGTGGTGCCACTCAGCCGACAGCCACGAAGTCGATCTGGTCCGAACCACGGTGAATCGCAGGATCCAGAACATCATCTCAGAGCTGGGGGGCTCCTCACTGATCCACGACAACATCCGGTGTGGTGCCAACACGGGCCTGTATCGGGCCGATGGCATCCATCTGTCCTCCAAAGGCATCGATGTTTTTAATCTAAACCTTCAAGACTTTTTGGAGAAGTGGGAGATGGAGGTGAACCAAGCCTCCGAGATAAGCTAAGAGGTGTATCAGTTACTTTATGATGTCTTTTATTTTTAAAAATAGCTAGGTTGTCACAGGGACTATGTCCAGTCATAAATCTTTAACCTGTCCAGTGGCATGTTTGTAGTTTTAGCTTACCACATTGGAGCTTCAGGCTCAGTTGGTGCGAAATGTTTGATTTGAAGCAATAAATTCAGTCTGAACTGGGCTGTTGTTGTATGTGTCTTTTCATCTTCCTAATGAACATCACGTTACAACCTGTAGTTACAGATAGATGGGAAGATACCAACAAAATTCACATCTTATTTATTTCAGTTCTAACAAACATGGAGACAAGTTTTCATAGTGGTGCACATACTGTGTTAATGCAGGTAATGAGTGAGTAATGACATGATTTTGTTTGTTTTAAAATAAATTTGGTCAAATCTTTTTACGGTGTGTATTTAGTGCCGGGTGATATGACTGGGTCTGCTGCGGTACAGGCTTTCATATGGGGTGATGACTATGTTTTTCTTACAACCCATTTACCGGTACTGTGAAATGTGCTGGAATGATAGCTCTGCCATAGGCCACACTGTAAAACGTGTTCTCCAGATTTACGCACACAAAAAAGAGCAAAGACTCGGCAGCTGTACAAATATGAGTCTACGCATTTGTTAAAGCCTCTCAACAGAATCAGAGGAATTTTGTTGCAACGAGAATTTTTAATTACAATTTTAGTTCCCACTAAAAAAGCCAGCATTCTTTGACAAAAACTAAAGAGTTTAGTCTGAAATTGTTAATTATGTGAATTAGTCGGGTCTTGTTGGTCTGCCTGTTTTACATTCAGGTGACATTAAATACATCCACTGTGTTAGTGTCATGACTTGAAACCATCCGTTGAGAAGAGATGGTCAGAGTCAAACCTGTCCAGTCTTGTTTTGACAGCAGTTAAAATTTCAGACTTTGATTTTGAAAGTACATTTCTCCTGTTTGCCACAGTACTCAGACCTCAGCCACTAACAGTGGCTGAGGTCAATTGGTGTCACTGCCCTTAATGTTTACCTGGCGGCCAGTGAAAGCATCAGACAGACACGGGCCGTTTACATGACACTGTTGAGGAGCCCGTCATTAAAGCAGTGCTTACAGTTTTTTCGCCCAGCACTACACATCCTCGCTTCTTTCTCCGCTGAAGTTTCTGAGCTGTGTTTGTACCTGTTGGAGCCAACCAGGTGAGTCTGTTTTTTCTGCAGGTGCCGATCCAGATGAAGCTCAGGGTGACTCGAGGACAGGTGAATGGAACACAACCGAAGCACCGGCCACTTGTGCTAGTCCAGCACTGCAGTAACCACACTAATGTGCAAGAATTGATTTTCCATCCACATCAGCACCACAGGAAGTAGCGCTTTATGAAATGTTCTGGACTCGCCTGGGCACTAGCATCTCATAAAGCACATTAAACCAGTTATCTCTTAATGTCAGTCGATGACTTGAGTTGGGCTGGACATAGCTAAACATTTGTCAGCGTTTAAGACCCCCAGGGTTGTTTAATCCATGACGGTGCAGGTCTGGGCTTATTAAACACAAATGTATTCAGAAACAAACCACATATAGCCTGAAAAAAATCAACTGGACTAGATTTCTAGGTCGAAGACGTTTCACCTCTCATCCAAGAGGCTTCATAAGTTCTGCCTGTTCCAGAACTCTTGACCTAGAAAAAAGTTTTTTCAGCTTACTATGACCTGGATGCCTGAGAATCTGCACAGACATGAAACCAAATATAGGCACAAAACTGACACACGGCGATCACATAAGTGCTCGGACAGGAGCCAGTTTAAGTCTCTGTGCTTTGCTGCCGCCTGTAAACCAACTGGTTGTAAGTTACAGTTAGCACAAGCCAATTGAAATACAGACCTTTCAGGGCTCCCAGTTTTCTGGGGCCGGTGTTTGTGTGTGTGTGAGAGGTTAAAGTGAACCAGTCACTGGATACGTGCTCCGTCTTTGGCCACAGTGCTAATTTTCTTTCTTAGTTCATAGTTTAATCTGAATCGTTTAAAAAAGGCTGAAAAGACTGAATTTCTGTGTTGCACATGAAGCATTAAATGTTAGAAAAAAAGGTACAAGTTTTAAGTTTTTCTTTTTCCTGTTCCTGTTTTTTGTTTGTTTTTTTAATAGGCCACTTGATTGGAGTGAAACGTAAAAACTGTAAGGTTGCCATTAACAATTCTTTTACAAGAATGAAAACGATTTGTTGTAGTTTTCCCTGAGCCTAAAATGATGTATTCACAGCCTGAAAGTGGTTCATTAAGTACTGTGTAGGTATGCCAAAAAGAAGTATGAGGAAGCTGGAGATGGGGAATGTTTGGGACTTCTGCTCAAATGAAATGACCCTTATCGCAATAGCTGCTAAACAATTAACAGACGAAACCTCCGACAGACCTCGGCTCTTGGTGGGCAGCCTTCTGCCTCAACCAGTTGGGATGAGTGGATAGAGGAGAGAGAGAAGAAGAAAATCAACAAACAATCAAACACTGGTCAGGTCAATGTGACTGCTCATCAGAGACGTAGAGCTCCAGAGCCAGGGCAACCTGGAGAAAGGTACGGGGAGAGAGAAAGGACGCACAGTTAGTGGTGGCATATCAGAATCAGCTTTATTGGCCAGGTGTGATGGACATGTGGAATTTGACTCGGGTACATCAGCTCTCAATGTGCAAAACGGTAAACCAATATAATATAACAAAATAGCAATATAGATGGAGGGGAGGGAGGAGAGGAGCCCCGCCCATGATGCTGAACTCGAATCAGTGATGCTGACTCAAAGACCTCAAACCCAGAGTCAGGTGTGGGCGGGGCTGTGTTTGAGGTCTTTGAGTCAGCATCACTGATTCGAGTTCAGCATCATGGGCGGGGCTGTGTGCTGTGCTGTAATAGGGCAAGGCTGTGGAGCTACTAAAAATTCAGTTTTACACTTGGCGAGACATTTAACATTTACATTTAGACTTTGTCACATTTAGCTAAATGTGAGAAAACTAGTGTAAGTGCTATTTTACATTCGACGCCCCATAGTAGTTCAGTTACTGTGTTCTTTGTTATGTCTAAATGGCTAATCAGTGTATAAGATTGTACAGTTGATTTCTGGTCACTCTGTGTGTTAAAATGACATGCACACCTCAGGTCTTTGCACAACTTGCTCACAGCTGTCAGTTATTTTAATATAATATAATAGTTTCATAGCTGAATTTAACAGTAAGAATAACATGGGTTAATACATAATATTACACAGTGGAGATTCAGGGGCATGTTGGGTGGTGGTTGCCTCTGCTGATATTGAGACCAAAACAACGCCCTTACTTCAGCAAGTAGTTTGTGTCGTCATTTTGTCTCTTTGTAGCTTAACATGTCTGTTGTGGGCGTTTGATTGGGTGTGTTGAAAGTCAGGTAACCAAAGTCATCTGGTCCAGGGGCCATGACTCTCTGGTCAAGAGTACACTTGAACCACATTATTAGACTGTGTACCACATTATTTCTAGAGTTGTGTTTATACCACATTCTTTCTATAGGTGGCAGCAGCGCCGTCAGTGAAATTATTTCTTACCAGGAGAAGAAGGGGGTCCATGTGTAAACATGTTTGATTAGAATGTAGGAAGTTAAATGTAGAAAGAAAAATGTTGAAGGATAGGGTTTTAGAGGTTCGAGGAGGATGGAGTATCTCAGAATCTTGCTTTATTAGCCAGGTGTGTCAGACACACGAGGAATTTGACTCTGGTACATTGGCTCTCAATGTGTATGTACATAAGGGGCAAGTAAACATTAAACCAACATAAGGCTGTGTAATATAACAAAATAAACAGTATTAACAAGCAACAACCAGTGCAAACAATGTAAAATAAGCAGTGTAGACAGGCAGTAAACAATGCAGACAAAGAAATGCTCACTGTGAAACGAGATAAATAATAAAAACAGAGTACTTAAAACTAGAGACCTCTATGAGTCTGTATAATCTGTACGAGGTATATTTACAGGTATTGCACTGAGGGTTATTGTCCAGTCATACTGTTGTGGGTTAAGTGTTCATCAGAGCGACAGCCTGGGGGAAGAAACTGTCCCTGTGCCTGGTTGTCTTGGTGTACAGTGACCTGTAACGCCATCTAGAGGGGAGGAGTTCAAACTGTTTGTGTCCAGGGTGTGAGGGGTCAGCAGTGATCCTCCGCCCTCCTTTTGACCCATGAGGTGTACAGGTCCTCCAAGGAGGGCAGGCTCACACCAATGACCTTTTCTGCAGTCCTGACTGTCTGCTGAAGTCTGTACTTGTCCTGTTTGGTTGCTGAGCCAAGCCAGACAGTGATGGAGGTGCAGAGAACAGACTGGATGATTCCTCTGTAGAACTGTATCAGCAGCTCTTGGGGCAGGTCGAACTTCCTGAGCTGGCACAGGAAGTACATCCTCTGCTGTGTCTTCTTGGTGATGGTCCTGATGTTGGACGCCCACTTCAGGTTCTGGGAGATAGTGGAGCCCATAAAGTTTTCATTAGATATTTAAATTAGAGACAGTAGGTGGGGGCACGCATCTTTTACCTTAGTCTGCAGCCCGCCTTTAAAACCGAGGAAAAAGTCATGTGACGATTGTGGTGGCGGTAATGCACCTAAAGCTGGTTGTCAACCGCCATTAAACAACAGAAGAAGAAGAAGAAGAAGAAGAAGAAGGTGGTGATGGTTGTGTGCGCATACAAAGTGATCGGTGCGTTGAAAATCAACGTTTAAATTAAAATATCTTAACACTATATTCTTCCATTAAGCAACGTGTCTGCAGGCCTCCTTGTTCCATTAGCTAAAGGTTGGAAACATTAGCTGGTTGACCGAGGGAAACCAGAGAATCTGTCCGGGAGAAGATGTACCGTGGTCGACCTCCGACGAGAGGAGGCTACCCGCCACCTTTCGAAGGCAGAGTTCCGCCGCCTCCGAGGCCTTACGCGGCATTGGGCTACAGAGACGACAGGAGCCGGCCCAGGCCTCCCTACCACCCCGGATACAACGACCACGGTCACTCGGACTCCTGCCGTCGCTCCCCGCCTCGCAGGAGGTACCCATCCCCAGGGGCAGGAAGTCACCGAGGCGGAGAGTACTGGGCCGGTGGTCCGCCGAGAGAGGTGGGTCAGCTGGGCTCAAAACAAGAGACGACTAAATATCAGTACCAGCATTTTCCAAGTAAACAGCTTTCCCTCCATGTTGCAGTTTCCCGGTGTTACTGGAATACGTTAGTTTAGTTAGTTGATTGTTAGCCCCGATACAAGATCATTTGTTTGGTAGCACACACCAAAATCAAAAGGCTGCCACTTAACCACGGTTTGCTTTGTCCGCTGTGTGCAGTAACGCTACGTTAGCTTCCGTTATTTGTTAAGACAAAGTCTTAGCGCTCATTATTCACTTTTCGTGTTACAGGTATCAAGTAAACCGCAAGTAATATAAATCCACAAAAGTTGTAAGCGTTTACTTTTTCAGTCCATTTTAAAATGCACAGTAGCTAACGCTCCGCTAGCTAGTAGGCTAACGTTTCTATGTAAGCCGAGAGTAACAGTCTGTGTTTGGCTCTAACAGATCCGTTTTTAAATGGATGATTTTAGGAATACGGCAGTGTTTTTAGGGGATTTAAGTTATTTTGAGCATTGATATTGGTTGAGCCGAATTGTAAAGCATCTCTAAAGTTGCAGGTTGATGAATGGAGTCCGTTCGTGATTCGTTTCAATGAGCTAACGTTAGCACAATCTTTTCGGCTTCAGCGACATATCACACTTTAAGACACATTACACACGTTTACAATGACTGTTTTTACTAAGTCCAGTGGTGATAATCCATGTGTCGCTCGTTCTTTCCTTTGACCAACTGAATAAACAAAAACCAGAACATAAAACTGAAAAACATCACAATGACATTTTCAGTTTTAAAATCAAAACAGGAAAGCAGATAATGTTTTCAGACTTCCATGGAGAAGAAGAAGAAGAAGAAATTGCTCATTCACACCTTAACAACCTGTAGCCCCGAAGTTATGGCAGCATGGTCAGGTGTGTTGGACAGCGGCTCTCAGTGTGCAGTACATATCCTTATGTAAGGCAGCGGAGGCCAAGTAAACAACATACCAGCATAAGGCTGTATAGTATAACAAAATAGGCAATAAGCAATGCAAACAGACAACGGAAGGTTCTTTAGGAAACGAGATAAAAATAGAGTACTTGAAAAATTAGAGGCCTGTATAATCTTTACAATGTATATTTACCGGTATTGCACTGAGGGTTATTGTCCAGTCATACTGTTCAAGGTTAAAGTGTTTATTCATCATATGCACAGTTAGGAAACGTGTTTCCCTGTACATTGAAATTCTTACTTTGCCGTCCACATGAATGCCACAAAATACAAATGAAATATAAAGTAGATAAATAAGTAACACAAAATCTAAGGCACTTTAAGCAGCGCAGATGCAGCAATATAGTAAAAATATATAAGAATATAACAGAGAATGTGTGCTGCATGGGAGCTGTAGTGGGTTAAGTGTAAATCAGTGGCAGCTCGGGTGAAGAAACTGTCCTTGTGCCTGGTTGTCTTGGCGTACAGTGACCTTTAACACCATCCAGAGGGGGGGAGTGGGAGGTCTTGAATCTTATGATGAATTTATTTGTGAACCTTTTGAGAGTGGGAAAACACACTCGGACATCAGTGCCACTCGGCAGTGTGTCAGTGACTGTGTTGAGGTTCTGCGTGGAGTACAGCCTCAGGAAAAGGAAATGGTAGTGATTTTTTTCTTTTTTTCAGTCAACAGGGTAGCCTGTGTTTGTTTTAAAATCTTAGTTTTAACTAGCGTGACTTATTTATCCTATATTAAAGAAAAATAATCTTTAAGTAGCCATGTTTTAACAAATGGGTCCATCCTATGGCCAGAAATGTATGACAGGATCTCTTCAGCCTGTGTGCGTGCTGGTGAAAGCAGTGCTGGGAGATTCTTAAGAGAAGCTCATCATACTT